ACAATAAATGTGGGCATAAAAATAATTCATTTGTGTGCTGATTTCATTTCTTTTGGACATATGGAAAGAAGTAAGATAGTGGTATTATATGGTAGTTCTATTTTTAGTCTTCTTATGAACCTCCATTTGATTCTTCATTATATCTATACAAATTGGCATTTTAACCAATAATGTACAAAAAGTATTTTTTTCAACATGTTCTGGCCACAATTTGTTAGTTTTCTTTTTAACGATACTTATTCTAACTAGAGTGAGATGGTATAGCATTGAAGGTTTGACACTTCTATTCATTACTATGCCTTAATAGCAATTTTTCTCTGTAAGAGGACCTTGTCATTATCGGATGACTTTATACTTCCCTGGAATGTGGACACTGTACACTATTTAAGGAGAATCCAGTTGGATATTCATTACACTACAAGCCTGTTCTCTTCCTTGTAGATTTAGCAAAGAAAAATATCAATAAATAAAGAATAAGAAACCATACAGAAATAACAGAGTTTGTCCTCTTTGGGTTGTCTGTTGACCCAAAGCTCCAGATTGTCATATTTGTGTTTCTCTTTACCATCTACATGCTGGGAACCTGACCACTTCACATGCTGCATCACTGGGAACTTGACCATCATCACCCTTACCCTGCTGGATTCCCACCTCCAGACACCCATGTATTTCTTCCTGAGGAATTTTTTCCTTATTAGAAGTTTCGTTCACAACTGTCACTATTCCTAACTTTCTGGGCAGCATTGTTTCAGGAGATAAGACCATTTCCTTTAATGATTGTATAACTCAATTATTTTTTTCATTCTATTGGGAGTCACAGAATTTTACCTGCTGGTTGCCATGTCCTATGATCATTACATTGCCATCTGTAAGCCTCTGTATCACAAGATCATCATGAATCGAAGAGTTTGCATGATGCTTATCTTTGCTTCCTGTTTGGCTTCATTCTTGATCATCTTCCCTGCCCTCATGTTGCTCTTACAGCTTGATTACTGTAGGTCCCATATTATTGACCATTTTATTGTGATTATTTTCCCCTGCTGCAACTTTCTTGTTCAGACACAAAATTCCTAGAGCTAATGGGATTTTCCTGTGCTGTGTTTACTCTAATGTTCACTTTGGCATTAATATTCCTATCTTACATATATATTATCAGAACAACATTGAAGTTTCCTTCTACTACTCAGAGGACAAAGGCTTTCTCTACATGTTCATCCCATATGATTGTCATTTCCATCTCTTATGGAAGTTGCATTTTTATGTACATTAAACCTTCAGCAGGAGTAAGAGCATCTTTGAGCCAGGGAGTTGCTGTGCTGAACACCTCAGTAGCCCCCATGCTGAACCCCTTCATTTATAGCCTGTGGAATCAGCAAGTCAAGCAAGCTTTTGTGAACATGGTGAGAAAGATTGTATTTTCCTTAAGTGCTTAAAATAATGTGGTATCATGAATTAGCATCTCGTTGAAGGGCAACTGGCAAAACATGAAATAACTTGGTCTTCATTATCCTTGTTCATTCTTTGCTTTTGCTAACAGTTTGGAAGTATTTGTAATATATATTTTTGTGAAATTTATTTTCATGTTTTCAACACTCCACTCTTCTGAAACTTGCTTATTATGAACTTTTACATGAATAATATTACAAATAAAAATGCTTAAAGAAATAGCAGAATTATATCCTGGAGGAGGAGATAAATTTTGTAAGTATTAGTATATTTTACTTACTAAACACAGAAGATATAATTTTATGACTTTTATTTTTTAACAAATGTCTTTTATTATCTTACAATGTAGAAATTAA